ATTTGACTAAGTTTTTCAACACAACCTTGTAAAACATGTAATATGCTTTAACACCAATGATGATTTGTTGGAAGAAAGGTTAAAATGCTTCTTAAAATGTTGTATCAATACGAGGCTACAAACATTCTTGTTTATTAAGATGAGTAGAAGGCCATTGTGATTTATTATTGCATATGGGAGATCCAAAATATGAAAAAAAGCTACTGAAGTCTATTATTTCATTGATTTGTACATGTGTAAACACATTGTTAGCACATATATTACATCTTGGGATTGATTTTACAAAACTATAATAGATCATTCCTTTACAAAGACAAGCTTGGACTCCACTTGATATGAAAGAATACAGCGTCAGAAAACTTTCAGAAAGTCCAGACAAGTAAGTCGTCCCAGAAGTCTTTCGAGAAGACTTACAAGTAAGTCGTCCAGAAGACTTACAAGTAAGTCGTCCAGAAGACTTACAAGTAAGTCGTCCAGAAGACTTACAAGTAAGTCGTCCAGAAGACTTAGAAGTAAGTCGTCCAGAAGACTTACAAGTAAGTCGTCCAGAAGACTTACAAGTAAGTCGTCCAGAAGACTTACAAGTAAGTCGCCCAGAAGACTTAGAAGTAAGTCGTCCAGAAGACTTACAAGTAAGTCGTCCAGAAGACTTACAAGTAAGTCGTCCAGAAGACTTATAACTAAGTCGTCCAGAAGACTTATAACTAAGTCGTCCAGAAGACTTACAAGTAAGTCGTCCAGAAGACTTACAAGTAAGTCGTCAAAAAGACTTATAACTAAGTCGTCCACAAAACTTCCAGATCTAAAAAACCTGCATTTCAAACCCAGATCTGAAAAATCTGCATATCAAAAAACATTCAAATGGCTTAAAACACACAGAAAATGAGTGAAAGATTAGATATATATATACTTTTTTAGAAAACATAACATACATCCAAATGAAGATGAGAACCATCTGATTAAAAACCTGCAAAAAAAAAAAAGATAGATTAGTGAGAAAAACATGAGACATAACTGAAAAATTCATATAAAGTTAATAGATCCATCTTTAAATGAGTGGAATATGAGAATCATGTGATGAAAAACCTACAAANAAAAAAAGATAGATTAGTGAGAAAAACATGAGACATAACTGAAAAATTCATATAAAGTTAATAGATCCATCTTTAAATGAGTGGAATATGAGAATCATGTGATGAAAAACCTACAAAACAAGATAAGTTAATGAGAAATACATGAGACAAAAACAATAAATTGATAAAAAGTTTGGTGTTTATAAGTTCAAAGAGATTACAGAGAGATTGGAGAGTTCTAGAAAGATGAACATTACTTTTTTTGTTGCAGACATTTGAGAGGAGGAGAGAGAATGTGTAAATTTTTCTTTATATAGGGAAACAAAAAAAAATTAGGTTAAATATTTTTGTTTCAGATGACTGAAATGTAAGTTGTCCAGGAGACTTTAATAATTTTAGCGGGAAACTAAAATATTTTTAGCGGGAAACTAAAATAGAAGACTTTTGAGAAGACTTACAAGTAAGTCGTCCAGAAGACTTAGAAGTAAGTCGTCCAGAAGACTTACAAGTAAGTCGTCCAGAAGACTTAGAAATAAGTCGTCCAGAAGACTTATAACTAAGTCGTCAGAAGACTTATAACTAAGTCGTCCAGAAGACTTACAAGTAAGTTGCCTGGTTTAAATTATTCAAGCGAGAAAATAAAATTTTTAAAAATTTTAGGCGGGAATATTAGTACGACTTACTTGTAAGTCGTCTGTGTAAAATTATTTACCAGACAACTGAGATTTCAGTTGTCCAGACCCTAAACCCTAAACCCTAAACTAAATTGACTAAATTAACTAATTAACCACGTTATATAATCAAATTATACTTAAATAGTGTTTACTATACACAGAATAAACACACTTAGGTAAATTTTTAATTTTTCAAAAAAACATTTATGCTTTCGAAAATCTAACCCTAAGAAACACATACAATACTACAACATATATTGGTGAAACCTAAACTAAAGAATATCATGACTCACTACTTTCACTCATCTATGCTGAAAACAACTNTACAATACTACAACATATATTGGTGAAACCTAAACTAAAGAATATCATGACTCACTACTTTCACTCATCTATGCTGAAAACAACTAACTTTTGTTATATCTTAATTTATATCTCTTAAGACATATGTTAATTACATAATCCCAATTTTTCATTTATCAAGATATTTATTACAGAATTTTTAAATTATTTTTAAGAAAAAATGTCCCAGACGACTTTAAGTTAAGTCGTCTGGACGACTTTAAGTTAAGTCGTCTGGGCAGACGACTTACGAGGGCTAGAAACGTAAAAAAAATACCATTTTTTTGTTTGTTCACAAGGGGTTGGTTGTAATTTCAATAGCCTTTTAAGTTACTTTTGCATTTGATTCAAGTTTGGGTTTACTTTTGCATTTCAAATCAAGTTTTGAGTCATATTTGGCAATTTTTCCTTTTTATCTTCTTGATATAACATGTTGAATACTTTCAACACAAATTAATCTATGTATATTTCAACAAATATTTAACATTTCAATTGTATTCATCTAACTGTTAAATTTTTTTTCAACTTCCCTTTTGTTGATGTTGAGAAGTGAGAACCTTAGCCAAAAAAGACTTATCATTCTTATTCACTTGGCATGTATAAGCATGAAATTCTTTTATTTAAAAACAAGGAAACTTCACATTTGATATTATAACCACCTTTAAAAAAAGCAAGCAAGAGACGTAACAGAATTTGACTAATTTCAGTCTCAAAGAGAAAACAAAACAGCTAACATGCGTAGTAGTTACCTCTTCGACATTCAAACATAAAAAAAAAAGTCTATAGTTAGTCATGACAGGAAAAAAAAAAACAGGTTTTAGTTATCACCTATACTAATGCAAATAAAATCAAACAAGTTATGAACACAGAACATTTTGTTAAGGAAAAGGCCGGCCAAAACTTTTTGGTGATCTTACAGGATCACGTTTACCTCTCTATTCCAAAAGATGGAAAAGCCCGACATTGCTAGGGCTATGAATTCAAATATATCCTATACTCTCACTTCGTCCCGATACGGTAATGTGCTATGTTATAACCAAACGGATGTAATATCGGCCGGAGACCAAAAAGCATGGGAGAGTGCAAAACCGATCAATGCCGCACTTCCTAGGTTGATCTACCAACTGGCTGCCGCGAACTTTGTCTACCGCGTTTTCTACTATACGACTCGACCGCTAAATCTTCCTCCTTTCGTTGCCCAAATCCTTGTGAGTAATCAAATGTTGATAAACTATTTTAACTAAATGATCTTTCGTTTTTGCCTTCTAAACGCGTGTATCATGAATAGTACTCAAATATTTTGTTTTTCTTTTTTTTTTTTAGCTAGATATGTCCTAACTCCTAAGCGTGTTCATCTTGAAAGTCAATTTTTAAGCCAACAAAACATATTATTGTGGGAAAAACACATTATTATGCATATGCGATATCTTTTTGCTAGTTCAATTTAAATTATGACATTACCGCATACATTTTTTCGGACATTACAGTACATCATTTCCTATATTTTTTATTATATTATATTGTTCTTGATTTGCAGTGTGGATTACTGTTCAGCCCAACAGTGCTCGGTAACACCGAAGTTGTCCTCCTACACTTCTTTCCCTATAGATTCGCAATGGTTCTCGAGACATTCGCAAACTTAGCTCTCGTCTACAACATTTTCCTCCTCGGTCTTGGTATGGACTTGAGGATGATAAAAATCAAGCAATTCAAGCCAATGGTCATAGCCCTCGTTGGCCTAGTTGCAGCCTTATTCGCTGGGTATTTCTTGTATTACTATCCCGGGAACGGAGACCCCGACAAGATCAAGGCAGGTTGTCTCTACTGGTCGGTTGCGTTGAGTTGTACGAATTTCCCGGACCTTGCTAGGATTCTTGCGGATCTCAAGCTCTTGCGTTCTGATATGGGACGCACGGCCATGAGTGCATCCCTTATTACGGATCTGTGTACTTGGGTTCTCCTCTTTCTCGGATTCGTAATGTTTAACAAACAAGGTAATATAGTTTTTTTTTCTTTTTCTTTTAGTCTATAATTTGTAGCTTAACGTAACTGAAGTGAAGAATTCAAATTAATAAAGTCTATATTCCTCTAACATCAATTATCTTTTATTAGTCCATAACTCACACACGACACTATCGTTTGGTTCACGCTACCTATTATTCAGAGCCTGTCCGCGGGACAGTCTACTATTGAAATTAAAGTCTTGACTTCTAATTCTTTTGAGAATTATTTAAAAGAATATTTCTACTATAAATTTTTAAGAAAAAAATCAACATACTCAATTTCATGGATATAATTAAAAAATAATAATTATAAAATAAATTAAAAACTTTACTATACATTTTTTTTCTTGGATATAAATAAAAACAAATATTTACTCTCTCCGCGGTTTCATACACTTATAATAAAATAGAGGGAGTATAAAATAAATTAACAACTTTACTATACATCTTTTAATTTTTGATCCACACTAAATGCATTATTGCCTCTAGTTCCAATTATTTCAGGACCGACTCTACACCTTTCAGTACTAACCAAAAAAATTAAACATGAAAAAATGCAGGTATACCAAACAGTATGATGCCATTTTCGTTAGTATCAACCATCGTTTTTGTCTTTTTCTGCATCTACGTTATCCGTCCTGGAATGGCTTGGGTCTTCGCCAACACGGTCAAAGGAGGCCACGTTGGAGAAAATCACGTTTGGTACACTCTCGTAGGAGTCGTGTTCTGTAGCTTAATCACCGATGTATGTGGGGCCACCTCAATCACTGGAGCTTTCTTGTTTGGTCTCTCGGTCCCTCATGACCACATCATTCGAAACATGATCGAAGAGAAGGTCCATGATTTTCTCTCGGGAATTTTGATGCCTCTTTTCTACATCATTTGTGGTTTAAGACTCGATCTTGACTACTTGATAGAAAACACGACCGCTAATGTGGTGGTGGTTGTGATTTCTTCGTGCTTTATGGTGAAGATTGTGTCTACCGTTATCTGCTCCCTCTTCTTGCGCATGCCCTTGCGCGATGGTTTTGCTGTTGGTGCCCTTATGAACACCAAAGGAACTATGGCTTTAGTCATACTCAAAGCTGGACGTGACAGCAAGGCGTTGGACGTAATAATGTACACTCATATGACGTTAGCGTTCCTGGCGATGTCAATACTTGTGCAGCCACTTTTAACCTTGACATACACACCAAAGAAGAAATTAATTTTCTATAAACACCGTAACGTTCAAAACCTCAAAGGACAAGTAGAGTTTCGTGTGTTAACCTGTGTTCATGTCCTCTCTAACGTCTCCGGCATAACCAGTCTATTACAGGTTTCTAACCCGACCAACCAATCTCCTCTCAACGTCTTTGCAATTCACCTGGTCGAGCTAACCGGTCGCACTACAGCTTCGTTGCTCATAATGAACGACGAGACCAAACCTAAAGCTAACTTTTCGGACCGAGTCAGAGCGGAATCTGAACAGATCGCCGAGATGTTCGAAGGCATGGAAGTGAACAACGAAGCATTGTTGGTCCAGACACTCACCGCGGTTTCACCTTACGCGACGATGCATGAGGATATTTGTACGATGGCCGAGGATAAACGAGCCAGCATCATCTTATTGCCTTACCATAAGAATTTGACGCCAGATGGTCGGTTAGGAGAAGGAAACCATGCGCACGAGGATATCAACCACAACGTTTTGAGCCATGCACCTTGTTCGGTCGGGATATTGGTCGACCGTGGCATGACGACTGTTCGGTCCGAATCTTCTTCGTTCCAAGGCGAGACCACAAAGAAAGAAATTGTAATGTTATTCGTTGGAGGTCGGGACGATAGAGAGGCTTTGGCTTATGCATGGAGGATGGTGGGCCAAGAAATGATCAAACTAACGGTTGTGAGATTTGTCCCTGCCCGGGAAGCTTTAGTTTCGGCCAGTGAAGTAGCCGTTGAGTACATGAAAGAGGCACAAGTGGACGACGAGTACATCTACGAGTATAACTTCAAGACTATGGATGATTCTTCTGTGACTTATACAGAGAAAGTGGTTAACAATGGTCCAGAAACAATCGAGGTGATTAGAGAACTGGAAGATAACCATTCTATCGATCTTTACATAGTGGGAAGAGGGCCCAGAGTAGAAACACCTGTGACCACGGGTTTGACAGATTGGAATACTTGTCCAGATTTAGGGATTATAGGCGATACGTTAGCTTCATCAAACTTCACAATGCAAGCTTCGGTTCTTGTGATTCAACAATTCTCAGCCGCCACTAGACAAACCGCAGCAAAAAATCAAGAACATGCTGGCGGTGGAGACAATATTTCTAATGAAGCGACGCCTTTTATGAATTCTCATGCGGAGGATGAGGATGATGAAGATGTACAATATCAAATGGGAATGCGCAAATAACAAAAGTTTCTATTTATTTATCCCATACAATATACAAATCTTTCACGTCATTTTGTTTATAAAAATGAACTGAATGTTAATATTATTCAAAAACAAAAAATTACGTTACATCTGAATGGGTCTGAGTTCTGAATTTTGATTTACGAATTCGTAGCCCTTTTCATACTTCCTATGTCTGCTTTCGCAGAGTAATGTAGCTGATGGTTGACCATTCTATATAATCCTTGAAGATGGTGATTCCCTATGTCTTCGACGGTTGCGTTCACGCCAAATTTATATCTTGTTGCTTGAAAAGTGTACCTCAGCAGGAACTGTTGAACACAGTGGAAAGTTTGATCGTATTATGGTTGTACGATTCGCGCCTCAAATCTTGACCTGCAACAAGCTCAAATCACAAGCACAAAGCAATTGACACAAGGATTTGTTCACCCGGTGTTCACCGCACTTCCTCAATATGAGGAAGCCGCTATATCTCACCGGAGCCGGGATCGAACCGGCAATATCACTAGAATAGCTCAACCGAGCAATCAGTTACAACCTAGTCTCTCTCTCTCTTTACAACCTGATCGTAACAACCACAATCGAGATTAATTCCCTTAGCTCAACAACCTGAGCATAATAAAGACTCTTAGCCTATTACTAAAACGACCAACATTGATGCGTTTCATTAACTAAGCTAAACCCATTGGTTTGACTAACCAAGCCCAATTAAACCGAGAGAGAGAAGAGACTAAACCGACTTACAAATACATAGACACTTTCTTCAATTCTCCACCTTGTCTTGTATTTGGAACTTCTCTAGTGCTGCTTCAAGATGAACAACTCTCATCTTACTTCAACATGAGCAAACCGCTCACTCTCCATGAACCTCCTGAGAAATGAACCTCTCAGCTTCTTATCTCTCCTGAGCAAACCCGCTCAGCCATAGGCTCCACCTGAGCCTATGCTTACTCTTAGTTTAGTGTCTTGAAACTCTCAGCAGCTCCAACGCATCTCGAAGCTTGCCAACTGGAAGAACCTTCGTAAATATGTCTGCAGGATTGTAAGCTGTTGCAATCTTCAGCACCTTGATGTATCCCTCAGATATAAGATCTCTTATGAAATTATATTTGATCGCCATGTGTTTAGTCTTTTCGTGAAACACATCATTCTTGGCAAGAGAAATGGCACTTTGAGAATCACAATGTATACTCACAGCTTCTTGCTCAAATCCTAACTCATTCAGAAAACCTTGTAACCACATAGCTTCCTTTGCTGCTTCCGTTAATGAAATATACTCCGCTTCAGTTGTAGAAAGCGCTACAACCTTCTGCAAACTTGACTTCCAACTCACAACATTCCCTCCTACGGTAAATACCATACCAGACAGTGACCTCCTTCTATCAATATCTCCTCCATAATCAGAATCACAGTACCCTTCCACTACAAACTCTCCTTCTTTAGAATAACGTAGCTTAACTCCTTTTGACCCTTGGATGTAACGCATGATCCATTTCACTGCCAACCAATGATCTTTCAACGGTTTGCTCATGAACCTACAAACAAGTCCGACTGCATAGGCTAAATCTGGCCTAGTACCAGTCATTGCATACATTAAACTGCCTACTGCACTCTGATACGGAATAGTCTTCATTTTATCCTGTTGCTCTCTGAACTCTTTATCTGTTGCTGATCTCAATTTGAAATGAATTCCCATTGGAGTCAAGACTCCTTTAGCTTGATTCATTCCGAATGTATCAAGAACCTTCTGTAAGTAGTGCTCCTGAGATATTGTTAAGACACCCTTGACTCTATCTCTAGTTATCTCCATTCCTAAGATTTTCTTCGCTTCTCCAAGGTCTTTCATTTCAAACTCAGAACTTAGAAGTTTCTTCAAATCTTCCACATGACTTTTCCTTCTTGATGCTATCAGAATATCATCCACGTACAAAAGCAAGTAGACGTACTGCTTATCCTTCATCTCCTTGAAATACACACACATGTCGAAATCACTTCTTCTGAACTTAAGCTTCACCATAAACTCATCGAATCTTGTATTCCATTGACGCGGTGACTGCTTTAAACCGTACAGCGATCTCTTAAGCAGACAGACTTTGTCAGGATATTTCTTATCCACATATCCCTCCGGCTGATCCATGTATATCGTCTCATCCAAGTAACCATGTAAAAATGCTGTTTTTACATCCATCTGCTGCAACTCCATGTTGTAGTGAACCACCATTGATAACAGACATCTAATAGAGACGTGCTTCGCCACTGGTGAGAAGATTTCTTGGTAATCAATTCCTTCTTTCTGACTATACCCTTTTGCAACCAACCTTCCTTTGTACCTCGGCAACTCTACTCCTTCTATCCCATCATTCCTTTTGTAGACCCACTTACAACCTATTGGCTTCTGTGTCTTCACTCTATCAACCAGTACCCACGTATTATTCTTCTTAAGGGAAGCCATCTCCTCATCAGAAGCCTTTATCCAAAACTCTCTGTCTGGATCCTCTAACGCTTCTTGATAACTCTTTGGTTTGGACCTACCTGCATCCTCAACCACAAGGTAAGCATAACCAGCAATATCTTCGTCATTAGGATATACCTGATAGTCCTCTAGTCTGACTGGTGCACGAGTCTCTCTTCTGGAACGGTCTCTCGCCAACTGATAATTGCTTAAATCTTCTTTATTAGACTCCTCAGCATTGTCAGTTGATTCCTCCTCTTCTTGAATATCGTCCTGAATAGCTCCACCTTGAGACTCAGCCCCTGTTTCCCTTAAATCTCCTGCATCATCAAAACTCAACACTTGGTTAGTTAATAAACGTGTATTTACATCATCACATGAGGTAGCCTCCTTGGAAGAACTCTTGAACATAGTGTCTTCTCTGAAAACCACGTTTCTACTTATGACACATCTCCTGTCTTCTATAACCCATATCCTATATCCTTTAACTCCTTCAGGATACCCAACAAAGACTCCTCTTTTAGCTCTAGGATCAAGCTTTCCCTCTGTTGAGTGTACATACGCTATACACCCAAATCTCCTCAACCCTGTCAAGTCTGGTATTGCTGATGTCCACCTCTCCTCGGGTATATTGAACTCAATAGCTGATGACGGTGTTCTGTTGATTATGTATACTGACGTTGCAGCAGCTTCTGCCCAAAACATTTTGTCCAGTCCACTCTCACTTAGCACACTCCTGACCTTATTCATGATTGTACGATTCAACCTCTCTGATATCCCATTCTGTTGAGGTGTGTACGTACATGTCTTGTGACGTACTATACCTTCCTCTTTACATAACGAGTCAAATCTTAAGTTGCAAAACTCTAACCCGTTATCTGTACGAAGTCGCTTAACCTTTCGCTCAGACTGAACTTCTACCATTTTCTTCCACTCTAGAAACCTTTCAAATGCTTCATCCTTCGTCTTCAAAAAATATATCCAAACTTTCCTGGACCAATCATCAGTAAAACTAATGAAGTATTGACACTTACTGAGACTTGGTGGAACGTTAGGAGAGCCCCACAAGTCAGAGTGTATGTAATCCAGCTTATTCTTGGTGATATGCTTCGCTTGACCAAAACTGACCTTGTGTGTTTTTCCAATCACACAGTCTTCACAGAAATCAATATTCTTCAACTTCTGTTTCTCCAGACAGCCCTTCTGAGCTAACACTTCCATCGCCTTCTGACCAACATGTCCCAACCGACTGTGCCATAACTGCGTGTAACTCTGTTCAGCTGTTTCTTCAGATCTCTGACTGGCACTGTTGCACGAATCTGCTGCTCTGGCTAATCCTTGCAGTATATACAAAGTATCTCTACCTTTTCTAGCCCCTTTCATTATGACCGTACACCCTTTTATAACCTTCAGCACACCGTTTGAACCTCTGAACTCACACCCTTTATTCTCCAGAGTACCTAATGAAATAAGATTTCTTCCAATACCAGGCATATATCTCACCTCGTGAAGAACAAAAGTAGTACCATCAGCGTTCTCAAACCTGACCGAGCCAATACCAACAACCTCTGTACTTGTGTTATTTGCCATCCTGACTTTCCCAGCACTAATCTCTGAAAAATTCAGGAACACATCTCTCCGTGGAGTCATATGAAACGAGCACCCTGTATCCATCACCCATTCCTCTTTATCTGCCATCTCCTGAGACACATTTACTTCACTCGCAATCAATCCAACCAGATCTTGAGCATCATCTCTGACCATAGCTGACTCACCCTTCTCGTGACCCTGAGGCCTTTGTTTGTTCTTGTCTAGCCACTTATAACACTGCTTTTTGAAGTGACCTTCTTTTCCGCATATCCAACAGACCTTCTTTCTTTCTGTAGACTTTGATCTGGACCTGCCATTCCTGCCTTTATCTGCCCTGGAATTCCTGTTATCAGATCTTCCTCTAACGAAATGACCCTCTGAACTAACCCGTGACCCTGTAAGAGACTTCATCTCTCTTTCTTTAGACCTTGCAGAACTAGCAACATCTTCCACTTTGATCACATCTCTACTGTACTTCAGCGTTTCCTTCAATTGATCATACTTCACTGGTAAAGCATTAAGCAAAAGAACCGCTTGAACCTCTTCCGGAACATTTATACTTAGATGACTCAGATCACCTACAATCGTGAGGAAATCATCTATGTTCTCATCTATTGTACGTTGTTCCTTCATCTTGAAGCCGTATAGTTCCAATTGAGCATGAACTCGATTCGGGAGAGACTTAGGCATATACAATGTCTCCAGCAGCGTCCAGGTTTCTGCAGCCGTAGTACACTTCTCGATCTTTCTCAAAACGTGATCTCCTACGTTGAGAAAGATTATATTCATCGCTTTTTCACACCGCTCCAGTCTTGATTCTTCAGCTGCTAGACTCTTCTTGCTTTCTTCCGAATCTTCATCACTTGCTTCGTCTTTTGCCGTATCCTTCGTCTCCACAACCGGAGACTTCTCGACGAGAACATCCTTTAGCCCTGACACGCTAAGGTAAGCGTACATCCGACGTTTCCAGAGAGAGAAATCGCCGTTACCGTCGAACCTCTCAATCTCGATCTTAGATCCCTTCATCTCCGATCTGTTGCGTCTTCAAGATTCAATCGAATCGATGATCTCTTCACCTAACCTTCGCTCTGATACCAATTTGTACGATTCGCGCCTCAAATCTTGACCTGCAACAAGCTCAAATCACAAGCACAAAGCAATTGACACAAGGATTTGTTCACCCGGTGTTCACCGCACTTCCTCAATATGAGGAAGCCGCTATATCTCACCGGAGCCGGGATCGAACCGGCAATATCACTAGAATAGCTCAACCGAGCAATCAGTTACAACCTAGTCTCNNTTAAAAATTTAAATTTTCAAAACCCCCCCCCCCCCCCCCCCCGGCCACTGAACATAACTCTACCATTTTGCAGATATGCAAGAGGAAAGAACATGTGAATCAAGAAGCGAAATTTTAGAGGAATGTGTACGAAGTGGATAATTTACAAATATGTATGCATAGCCGAAGGTTTTTCTGATGGCCGCTGCAAAGGATTTATCTTTCATTGCATTTGCAAGAAGCTTTGTTAGGCAGATAGACATGATAAAAGATCAAGTATAGGTCATGTACTCAAAACTCAATCTTAAGAATTGGTTACTAGAATAATCGCACTTGCGTCTGTTTTCACCGAAAATAGTAATTTGAGATAAGAAAAAAAAAATCTCTTCTAGTTACACAACAAATAAAAACACAGTTCAGAAACTTTTTTTAGCAGCGAATTCTCGACAACAACATTTCCTCCAATCTCGTAAAAAGAAATCGTCGCAAAAATGTTGATAAAAATAATTCATCGAAATTTTGTTGGAATCCCCAACGAATTCCTAACGACTATTTTGTCAACGCATTTCCGGAAAAAAACAGTTGTCAAAAATAGTCGTTGTTTAAATTTTTACAATTACAAGTTTACAACAATATATATCTAAAATGACTAAATATCAAAAGCAAAATTGTTAAAAAAAAAATCACGGTGAAAATAGGTTTAGACAATATTGTTATGTGTATATATATTATTACAATTGAAGTACATTTTGAAAAATAACCGTTCTTTCATTCTTATAATTACAACTTATGCCATTACATTTAATAATTATTAGTAATTAATTAACTATAATCATTTATTTTGTTAGATTATTTAGTAATCAATATTACTATTATTCTCTAATCAAATTTACCATCATTCTATAAGTAATTTTTACAATAAAATCAAAACATGCTTATTTAAAATGTGAGATACAAAATTTAAATATTATATATTCATGTATATTACTATACATTTCATATAAAATACAAAGTATAAATTTTTTATTAAAACATTTAAAACTATTTTCAAATATATGTTAAATAAATTGATAATTAATATTATTTACACATATATATTCTAACTAAATTTTAATTTAATATTTTCCTTAGAAATAAACTTAGAAGGAAATTTATGACTTATAAAAAACTTAGAGGAATATCTATCTATTTTATTAAACTATTTATCTTGCATAAATATTTTATTTTGAAAATATAGATTTATTATTATACATAAACATACTAACTGGTTTTTTAATTTATTAATATATTACAAATATTTAATTAATTCAAAATTGCTAATTGATGAATATGTTATATAACATATCATTTTGGTTGGTTTAGTATTTAACCACAATATGAGCAACCAACAAATTACGGACAGTTAGGAACCGCCGATTTATCATAAATGTTATATACTATTTTAAGAACTTCACTTATAAGTTAATTTACTTTTAATCATACTTAAAGTTACTAAAACAAATATCATTTTAAGAAATAATACCAAAAGATCTCTTAACAAATATGTAAACTTCACACAAATTTTTTTTTTTTCATTTTTCTATATTTTAAAAATATTTTACTTTATTTTTGAAATTTTTATTTTTGGGGTTTTTGAGTTTTTTTATAATTTTTATGTATTTTCTTATTTATTATTATTATTTTAAAAAAAAAACCTGCACGTCATCAATCATCATGAAATGAACAGTACCAGTACCTACTTGACTTGAAGAACAATTAAACTTCATTGAAGGTTTATTATGATAAAAAAATGTCATTTTCAAGATTTAAACTATTAGTAAGAAAACTTGTTTAAAGTACGAAAATGTGACACTCCTAGGAATTAAAATGCGATTTTCCCCAAAATGATCGTCAACTTTAACGTTATTGAGAAGCAATCAAGAATTCTCATGGTTATAACAGGGAATCAAGTTAGTGTGTGTAGATGTTCTAAGAGCCAATTGAATAAAGAAGAATTGGATTTCATTTACCTCTCAAGGACCGAACAAGCATAAGTTGAAGTTCCCATCTGCAAGTAATCTTAATCTATTGCAGGGTTGAGTTTAAGTAGGTATGCAACCGACCAAATGAATCAAGCAACATGTCTGAGACAGGGTTGTGTTTTGTCTGATCAAGTTGAGCTGCACTAGTAGTAGTAATGGCTGTTGATACTAATCTTGACCGGGTCGGGTTGACCCCACCTGTGGGAAGAGACTACAATTAAGTATCGATTCTCTAATACATTGTTCATTGGTGAATATGGAGGTTCTAATTTATTAGGTTCATGATCATAAATGGAGGTTCCAATGTGAGTAAAGAAAAATTTGTCATAAAGTGGGGGTAGCAATAAGCTTAGTCCATTGTTCATTGTGTATTTGAAAAGCTTCAAGTAGTTCATCAAACATGCAAAAAGTACACTTGGTCTTCTCTGTTCTTTCTTCAATTTTTTTTCAAGCACATCATATTAAGTGTAGAGACCTTAAATGTAACAATCTTCCATTTCATAAATTTTCAGCATTTGCGCGGGGCTATGGGCCCTTTTTCCAAGGAAAAGGAGCAGTTACTGAGTGTCTACAATGATATCAACATAATCAAGAGTATGAAGAACTGGCTGAGAAAAGGAGAAACTTTCTGAAGTTATAGATAGCTTTCTTGGGTTTGATTAGATATGTGCAAAAGTTTAAGTTACTCTAAAGAAATGCAATCACAAATTGTTAATAGTTCTGATATTCTAAAAAAACTCATCACATCTTCATAACATCTTGTCTTTATTATGAACAACGTAAAACATCATTACAAGCCAACTATTAACCCATTGTTAATAGCTTCATACCAGTCATCACTTTTGGTCTTTTTCGATATATTATAGAAACTTGTTGGGCGGAAAAATAAATGCAAATTAGTAGACAGGACTAGCAACGGGAGTGAAACCGAGCAACTTCTTAGAATGAAGCCATGGTTGAATAAACACAATTGAGTCAAACATCCTGCTCGTGCCATCGGGTTGAGTCACTTCAATCCTTAGATCATATTCTAGACCAGCTACGACCTGTTTCTGAGCCGACACAACTCTACTAAAATTCAACGGATTCAACACGGCAGTGTTCGCAATGGAGGCTGCGTTTCCTTGCTCACTCTCTTCCATTAGATTGAATTGTTCCACGCAGTACCTGTTGGTCACAAGATTGCATCACAATCCTAGTACAATTTAAGCGACGTATGTAAATGTTTATCATATTCATGTATGGTATTACCTTCCAAGTTCTTGAATTTCAATGTTGGTCTGAACATTTGGAATATCTGACTTCCCTCCGAGAACGACGGGAGTTCTTATAGCGTTCGCCGATTGAGTGAGGACGGCGATCACCAGAAACCCTGACAATGATAATCTAATAAGAGAAACTTTTGACATTGCTTCTTACTTTTGTCGTCTTCTACTTTGGCTTCAGTTTGGTACTTTATGTTTTCCTTTGAAACTCTCTTTGTTATGTGTTGTGTTTTTGTGTGTGAGATGAAGAGAGTGAAACGGAAATGCTTAAATAGAGTGTTTTTGGGTGTTGTGTTTGGGTGTACGTGAGAATGCGTCCCATGCCATACGCACCTTCGAGGTTCCGCATCTTTTAAGTTTACTTTCACAGCAACACGTGAAGTGAGCCCCACTGTTCTTAACGTATGTGACATGCTCGGATCAGGAATCCGATCCAGATTCCACTTCTGATTCTTATTAACGAGCTGTTTTTCTTATGAACGATCAAGTTTATATATTAACATTGCACCCCTAAAATTTATAACAAATATAAGATATTTTATCCTAATATTTGAAGGGTTATGTTAACAAATTTAAGATGTTCATAAACTTTGTGCCTAATGTTATATGATGTTAAAAGTTCAGAGCGAATATTTAAACCACTAGCTCATTAATTGGTTCTCCGGCTATATGTTCTGACCCTAGGAAATTAGGGATGTGCTACACTGTAAAAGTGGCGTTAACTCTTTGACGTTAAATTAAACTTTTTAATTATCTATTTGGTTATATGATTCGTTGTTTTACAATCCCACCAGTGAAAATAATTTTAAATTTCTAATTCGACCAACGGAAACAGCATGGATGGATCTCCAGCTTTTCCTTATCGCCTCGATTTGATTTTGAATTGTAATTTGTCTTTTTGTTTGTTTTGTTTTGATCATGCATATGATGTTTGGGAGAACAACACGTATTAACTGAGTTTGACATCTGTCCTCTCTTCTGTTCGCATGCTGCTCACGTAGCACCTCCTCCTACGTATGCTAAACTACACACATTTATGCATAATTTCAATCTGTTACTACTTACTACGAAACTGCTATACGAAAGAAAACAATTGGCCACGCTAGTAGATCATCTTAAGGTGAGCTAATCAACGCATGTTAGTTTAGTGGTAGTGGAATTCCAATTGAAGTGCCATTCTGGGTTTGATCCGTGTTGGCCATCAGAAAATTTACATATGGATTTGCTCTGGCACCCGAAACCGAAGATTATTATATGTGAGCTACATGATAACATCCTAGTAATGTCTTTGTTCATTCGGTCTCTAGTCTGGATTACTATAGTGGGACTAGGACACTCGATTATAAAAAAAAAAAGTGAGCTTATCCGTTTTACTGGGCCGATAACTATTTGTTATTTTAGTTTCGTAGGACCCACCAATTATTCTAGTTTCGTAGAACCCAACAAAAACATGATAATGAAGCCGAACATGTTATCATTGCACCAGTTTCTTTCGTAAAACATTTTTGGTTCTGATATAGTCTACACAGTCGATGCTAGTCTTCAAATTTTCTACCAACATCTCCGGAAACTGGCCGTAGAATCTTTTACTACCACAAAGGTCTCTCTATATCTCATTTTAGACTTTATTAATATAACTAGAAAAATTTTCACCAGAAATATGTTTTATTTTTAGAGCATCTCAAATTATGAACCTTACTTTGGGAATAAAATTTCAAAATGAGAATCTGAAGATTGATTACTCTAAGCATGCATCCTTAAAAATAATCCTTAAAAATTTATTTATTTATACTATAGTTTTTGATATTAAATTTGAGGTTGGGTTGAAATGACAAAGATCTTATAATTGAAGATTTCAGTTTACAGGACCAAAAAATAAAAATAATTTCAAATTTTGAAATTTGGTCGAAATGAAAAAACTTCAAAATTTAAATATTTGAGATTTGGTTGGTAAATATTTAACAATACAATTTCTTAGTGAAATTTATTTTGTTTACAAAGTATTTTATCTATTTGGGATTGGTAAAATAATAGTTCATATTGTAATAACACTATTTTAATTTTGGTGAAAGAATGGGAAACCTACTACCAAAAAATGAATATAAAAATAGAAAATAAATATAGAATATATCACTTTTAGGTCTAAATATATAATATCTGTTCCTCAGTTTTGATTCTTTTTTCCTCCTTATTCCTTTATTCTCTTTATCATTCTATTCACAGCCATTTCAAAAGCATCTTCTCTCCATCTTGTTTGTGACGGTTTGGTTTAGCGTACACAATCTTTGGAACCAATCTAATCACGTTTTCTCTCATACCAACCACTTTTTCCTCCGGTATTTCAAGCAAAATGTTTTGGGCCTTTAACTTTGGGTCATATACTACACATTTATATGATTTCCATCTAAGAAGTTTTTTAAAAAGTTTTAAATATATTTTATATTTTATTGGTATATTACATATATTTGATCATAACGTATATTTATATTTTTAGGATTGGTAAAATAATAGTACATATTTAAATAACATTATTTTAATTTTCAAAATTTTTCCAAAAAAAAAAAGAAAAAATCAACAGATTTTCTCTATATCAGCACTACAAATAGGTCTATACACTATTTACAGTAAATTTTGAAATCTCTTTATTTTCCATTTTACATTAAAATATAAAAGGGTAATTTAAACATTTTATAATAAATTGGAGATACGACATACATAATAAAGATATAATTAATAAATATTTAAATATCTAATATAAACATTAAATAAAATTTTAAATTCAAAAATAACAATTTTAATTAAATTAGATTATATCGATCATCTCTCGATACAATCAATACTTTCAGAATTTATCTTCAAGGTTTAGCGATCGGTTTTTTGCGAGTTTACTTACAAAGTTTATCAATCAATTTTTTTTTTTTGCAGATTTACTGTTTCAATTGCATATTTAAATTTTCACACGCAAAGTGTTTTAAATAGACAAATTTATTACAAGTTAACAAAACATTTATAACGTTGTTAATAATTTTCAATAATTTTCACATTATAAAATATCTCGCGATTTTCACATTTATTGTATTAACTGTTTTTCACCAACTCATGTGACCAATAAGATATCATTTCTTATTTTGTTACTAGTACTTATAAATAATTAAGATCCACAAAATATACCAAAATTTTTATACGATATTCTTTCTTATTTTATTACTACATATAAAATAATTAAGATCCACAGAAATACAAACAAATCACACCAAACTACTAGTGTTACGACTGTTATCCAAAACTCGCATTGCTTAATATATGGCGTTATTTGACATAAAAAGGTCTAACTTAACCTTCTTTTTTGTGCACAGGTATAAACTCAGACAAAGACTCTGGCAGACTCAAACCGGCTTGATATCGACCTCTCGCAACTCCAGTTTTAGCCCTTTGCCTCCTCCATTCGCCAATGGATGGATTCCCAGCTCTGGCCCCGTCATGTACGCCCTTGCCTCCCTCTCTCCCTCTATCGAAACCCCAAACCGCTTCTCTGTCTCTGCATCCATAATTAATATTCCAAATCCAATCACAAACCACCAATGATCATAACAACATTGTGCCATATCAATATCATTACTACTTACTAGCTGCACACCGGTCTACATTTTTTCTCTATCAATACCTTCAACCACTTTTTTTGTCTCTGCATGTAGATGTATGCTCATATCCAACCATGAGCTTCTAATGACATATATACTACTTTATGCCATATATATCAAGACCATTGCTAACGAAACAAGGTCTATACGCCTATAAATTTAGTTTTATATGTAGAAATTGAAAAACTTAGATGTAAGTGAATAAAGTTAAACCGTGAACTGTTATGATTCTCAAATTGAATTATTATGAAATGACAAAAGTTCATCTACGGACTTTATTACCTTGAATCATTTCATGGAAAAGTTGACCATCGCGGGTAACGGCCATCATGACATTAGGTAAACCAATGGGAAGATCATGGCCCAAATCAACTTGCCAAAAGTGGAAAACTTTGCCATAAGTCTTAGAAACTTTGTCAAGATCCTTACGCTGAATGGGACCAGGAACCCCAGGCATGAACAAGAACCCTCCTTTCACTTCCCACTCGTGCGTGTGCCAAAGTTTCTTCTCCTCGTCGGGCAAAGTCATGAACAACTTCTCTGTTACGATATACTCCAATCCAATCAGACGAGCGTTTGCATCCGGACCGTCGTAGATCAGACATTGACGCATCTCTTCGTTCACGTGACTGCAGAAATGGTGAGCCTCCACTTGTCGTGTCATGTCGTGAGCATAGAAATGGAACCTGCCAACATAGAAATGGTGAGCCTCCACTTTTCATGTCTTTGTACTGCTACTACTTCTCTGCCCTAGTCAGGTGGGAGCTTTTATCTTTAATATAAGCTGTGTTAAATATATATATAACATTTGTATATACATTATAACTAAAATTATATTTTCAAACCTTAAAGCTTTTACTATGAGAGATTTGTGCCAATGTTTGCATATATCGAACCAATTCCAAACAAGAGTTCACAACAAACTCATATATTTGTTAGATAAATATTAGACAAATAATTATCGATTAGTATAATTTGATATCAGACGCTTTGTTTTTTTTTTTTTTTTGGCAATTTTGGTATTAGTTAAGATTGGTTGTTTATATTTTTGTTTTTTCAACTTGTTTCAATGAAAAAAAGGGTCCTAGTTCTTACGCAATTTCAAAACCGAGAGAACAAATACTACCCCACGGCCCAACCCCTACATGTTGTTGAGATCAATCAAATTACTAATTACATCCATGGTAACTCAAAATAGGGACAACTTAGCAACAACACGTGCAATCATACGTTTATTTGAAAAAATAAATGTAATCATATGCTGCACTACTTTCAAATTGAGAATAATTCAAGAGAGATTACAAAAGGTAGAACTGATAAAGATCGATAGGGTCTACTCACGCGCAGAGATGTTGATGGATTTGGTTAACCGGAGCAAAACTTTGGACAGCAGAGGTGGCGGTGTCGATTATGGAGGTGCCGGTTTTCGTTGCCTCCCCTGGAACCTCCGGTCCAGACGTCGTAGATGAGTGAACTGCCTTCTCCATTTTAATATAGCTATTTGTTCTTCCTCTCCAAAATTTCCTAAGCAATCAAGCAAGCAGGTTATTGCAAAGAGAAATAGATCATTCTTTCATACGTGTGGGTGTTATCTACGAAAAGGATGGAGTGTATGCATGAAGTTTAACATGTGGCAAGTCGACAAGGTTACACTTGTGTACCTCAGCCTTTGTTTAGGATAAGTATAATAAGAATTGGTCAATGTTCAGATTTGTTTGACAAAATATGATATGAGAATGTAGACATGCATCGTCAATTACCCTGGATGATGCTCTTATAAAGATAGATTTGAGCGAAAAGAAAAAGAAAACTAAGGATTTTCATTTAAGAATTTTCATAACGTTTTGCAAGTGAAACTCCAGTCTGCTTGTTTTGTAAAGATTCAGATCCAAAGATCTCATTGTCGTCTTTTTAGAGTCCTAACTGTTTTGTAGAAACTGAGGTTCTTAAATTTGGATCGCATCTTATCTGCTTAAGCAAGTATCAAATACATGGGGCACTGGACTCTTAAGTTACAGTGAATTAGTTGCCAAAATTTTGGGTCCATAATAATAAGTAAAAACACGACACAACAATTCCAAAATTTAATACAAGCTAAAATTACATTTCCCAGCACCCTTAGATTTTGGTCTACCAGGCAAAGTAAAAAAGCAAGCAATAAAACGGCAATGTGTCTTGTTGTAGTGACATATCATCTTTCCCTTTCAATATGTTTTCCTTTTCAGCTTTTTAGTTATTTATTCGTCTATATATATAAATTTTACAGATCCTTTAAAATCTATATTTATTAATTAACCTATATTATTCTTTTCTTGGAGCACAAATATTTGGACGGATACTGATATCAAATAATTGTAACGATCCGTACGCTGTCTCGCTGATCATATTTCAGTATGAAAGTTGTAATTAGGCATACTTAAATATCATTCATACCCTATAACATTTATTGAGAATTCTCCCAATCCTCAATAGAAAACTTATATATTAATTAAAGATTTTTTTTGTCAACATATTATAGAGTTTTGTCAAAAAAAAAACATATTAGAGAGTTTATTTACAATATTATAACATTTTTAACTGGTGGAATCCTTCAGAAAGATAATAAGACGTAACTAAAATATTAATACCTGAGATGACATATATGCGCTATCACTTAAGTTAATACTACGATGGAACTGAATATTATTAGGGAATAATAAAGTTACAAACAAAACGGTTGTTGAAAAAGAAGTTACAAACAAAATGAAAACTGTGGAAACAGACGCCTTTATTAGATCATATTAAAAAAACGAAAACTATATTACAAAATGGAAAATAAACATTCAAAACATTATCAATACTGTTTCTCAAAATAAACAAGTGTATACAGAGTAATGCTTGTATTTCTCACTTTTTCTTTGTATATGATTTGCGTTTTAAATCGAATTAATACATCAAATGATCGGGTTTTCAAAGGTGATGATAAACTATATATTTATATCACATATATAAGCATGCATGTGTGCGCACATGATGTAGATCCAAGTGACTATATATATGTGCATGTGCTTGTGAAATAATGGAGAAACGAGTACTGCATATCAGAGGGCTATCTAAAATATATAAAGGAGTAAACGCACATATGCACTATATTAATAAGATACTTTGATTTAAAAGGCCATAATTTTTTTTTAAAAGGTCGTTTATTGAATACATGTCAATTTCTTAAATTTCGTTACGTTTTAGCTTGGTGTGTCCTATATGTTATATATACGAACTTCTATTTTATTATAATCTGATTGGCGAAATCATAAGTTTCTCCATCAAGAACTACTTGGTGATCATTATATTTCAATAGTTTAGCACCAAATTGAACCCTAGGGCATAGACATTAGAACATGAGGTATATATAATATATATTGTATTATTACTAAAGATAAGCTAATATAGTTTTCGTGAAAATAATTTGAAGATGGAAGAAAATTAAAAGCAGAAAAGACCAACATTGTGAGGCAGAGACTTTGGAATGGAAAAGAAGAAATGATGGAAGCATGTTTGGCTGGCCATCTAAAAGCCAAAACCATCCTATCCAAATATTTAATTATTTTGTCTTTTTAAAGCAAAAGAATCCGTTTCGATATTATAACTACAATGTCTATCAATGCATAAAATTTACATTATGTGAACTATTCATATATAATCATGCACATATTATCACTATGTATACATGTATATGGTCAGTATAGTCATTGTCATGTAACGAGACTAAACGTGAGGGTCTTATTCAGATAATTAACGTGAGGGACTTGTTCAGCTAAAATTTAAATTACCGCGAGATAGCTAGCAGTTGAATGTCATAGACAGTATTGACAAAGAAATCATAAGGGTAAGAAAAGTAAATTTATGTTTTATAGGAGAAAAGGTAAAACTACACCATTATTAGTTTATAATATATAATGATTTAACTTTTGCTCAAACCTTAATCTGAAATGATTTGGAAGACTCTCTTTAACATCCTCAAAATTTCAACATTTACGAGGCAGTCAAATGCAACCGGGATCATCTTGTTTTACTGATCCTTCACTTTTCGGACATACTTTATAATTAAATATTTGCTTTATTCTTAAAATTGTTGCGTAGAATCTCCTTTTTGTTTGTGAAAGCAACGTAAGAACAATTTTATCAATGGATTCTCAAGATAAATTATTTCACAAACTATAACACAAAATAAAATAAATGGATATTTTAAATATGAGATATTCCATTAAAAACATTTTAAATGAGATATTTTTATGGTATATCTCACATTTGAGATATTCATTTACTTTATTTTGTATTAGAATTTGTAAAATATTTTTGACGGAATTTCACATTTGAAATATCTATTTATTTTATTTTGTGTTAGAGTTTGTAAGATATTTATGTTGAGAACCCATTAATAAAGATACTCTAAATAGAGAATCTAAGAATTTCTATAATGATTGTTTGTCTCATTAGCATAATGGCTAACTAAATAGAATTCGTTTTTAAATTACATAAGATGTTTATGCATAAAACTCATAAAAAAATATTAGAAATGAATTACATCCTTCAGACACGACCTATCTAATAGACAAAATTCGGTCCGGATCAGTTGATAGCTGATGTCAGTCCAACTAAGTTTTTTTTTTGGTCAAATCAGTCCAACTAAGTTTAAACATAAGATTGAATCGATTAAAAGGAAAAGAAAAGATGACTCGTATAAAAAGAAAAGGCAGAAGAGTGAGAAGGACATTCACAAAACACACAATTCGGCATATGAACTAAGGTTTACCTTAATCTTCTTATTCTTGTCGATTTGACTAATTTTCATAAAATCCAATCAGTCTTCTCTTGTAATCATCTTTTTATTATTAACAATCTCTTTCAAATAACTTACTATCAAATTCGTGCTTGATTCCGATATATGCGGAATTCAGATTCGACAAAATTGTTTTGTTGTCATTTTTCTAAGTCTCGTGTATTCCGTCTTTTATATGAACATTTAGTACTTTGAATGTAATGTAAATTTAATGTTTACTGATATATCGTCTTGAAGCGAAGAGCAATTCTAATCCACAAAAAACTCTATATTGTGAAATTGTTTAACGATTGTTATATAGAATACAACATACGTACGCACTACAGTCTACATACGGATTTCGAGCGTTATTATTAGAAAATAAAATATTGATGACAAAAAATAATAATAATAAACTTTTGGTAGTCAACTTACGTACTATATATATATTGGTGATTATAGAAAAAATGTCCCGATCTTGGTACCTTATACGTTTTCTTCGACCTATTTATGATAAAGACACAGAAATAGACCTCTCGATTCCCCAACATCACTCATTTTATAATTCTGATATTCATAATAAGTACTATTTATTAGTTCACGACCACATCAAAGATCACGATTGCTTTTATTATTATTATTACCTTTGTTTCATAACGAGTGTTGCAGAAATTTCTTCATACAAATGAAGGCGAAAGAAAGAGCAAGGATGGAACTAGAATATTTTCCTAGTTGATAGGTCCTCATCGGCCACAGCTTTTATCGCTACGACTTTGTCAACCACTTATTATAGTCCATCAGCCATGGCTTTTGAAATGGTTCTATTAGTTATATATCTTCCTCAGGTACAATGTAAATTTGTATCAGTACCTTATCATCAAAGATATTTCTTTCACATTTGGTCACAACCATCTCTTTATCAACATCAGCAAATACTAAATGAAGAAGAGTTGAAAGTATGAAAGGAAGATAATCATCTGTATTAGATTACGGGGGCTTCTACCTTAGGTTGAACATATGCAATGAAAATTTCAGAAATATGTACAGCCTCGTCAGCTGTAATAGTTGTTGCAATAGGTGCGACATAGATTTGTAGTAATATGAATATGTAAAGCGTGTCCATGAGTTGCTAAGTTAAGCACAGAGACCGGCTCATCTGTGACCAGATCTTTACGATTAAAAAATGGTCTTGTTCGGAATCAGACACAATAACAGTGACAGTGGTTCAGTTGATGCTAGCTGAGCATCCAGATTCCAGAACCGCATCTTCCATGTTTAAAAAAGAAACATCAATAAGATAATTTTTTTTATGGACGAATTATTTCCATATCTTCCACATTTTATGGAAACTAAGCATATTCCACGTCAACCATAGTTATCCTACCTTTTGTCATCCACAACGGTCTATGAGACAATGGTTTGTCCAAATCTATCTTATTAAAATATTTATACCTAATATTTATTTTGTAAGTTTTTAAATTAAATATATATTTTTTATATTATAGACATTAAATTACTATATTTCTTTCTTTATACTACTATCCATATTTTTAAACAATATATTTATTTACTTATATTACTATCTTTGTTCCCAAACAATATAATCGTTTTTATACTATTTTCCATGTTTCCAAATAACACTATCATTAATTTTATGTCCAAACAATACAAAACATTAAATCTCATAATTTTTAATATTTTTCACAATTTTCTTTCAAATTATTGAGATCAATTTAAAAAATTCAAATAATATATAAAACAATGAAAATAAACTTATTTTACAAGTTTCAATATTACATATCAGTTATCTATCGGTTTAATCGGTTAATCTTGGGTTTTAATGATTTTTAAAATATGGATATTTTTCATCATAAAATATAAGTGCTTGCAAAGTTAAGACGAAAGTTAAATTTGAACTTGACCTAACCTATTTTGGATAATTATTAACATCGAAAGTAATTAAACTTTCAACTTTTTTTTTAATGTAAACAGTTAATTTTGAATTTGATTTTGCACTTAGAACAAACGTACTGAATTAGAGTTTCACTGCATGATTATATCCACATAATACACTGATTTACGCTATTAATACAATTTTTTTTTGATATTGTTCCTTAAACATAAAATCGAATTGGACAGATTCAAAACTATATAAAATTAAATTATATAAAATATCTCTAAAAAATAAAATTTGCGCATATGCGTGGATCATGTTCTAATACAACCTTAAATTTGATCTCAGAATAAATGTGGTTTCCAATGTTATTTATTTTCACCAGAAACAATATAATATTCTATTTGAAACTTGAGAATTATGAAATAAAGAAAAATACCCAATTCCTCACATGACTCTAACACGAGCTAGTACAGAAAAAGAGTTTGGCTTGTTATTTTAGATATCTGAATTACTTAATTCAATTATATTGTTTAGTTTATAAATTTATATAATGAAGTCTAGTTTATATTTTTTCTATAAATATATCTGTATTTATAAAATTAAATAAAAATAATAAAAATTTATTTCTATAATCATATATTTTCTATAGCACAAAATATTGTTTTACGATTTGATTGGAAGAAGTTGAACTTTATTATTTTTTCCGTAGAATTAATGTTGTAGATTTTTTGATGTAGCAATATAAATTTTTGTTGTAAAATTTTAGCTATAGATTTGAGAAAATTTAATTATTTACGTCTAAATATTTAAGCCAATATATAAGTTTTCTAGGTATTTAGATTTCTAAAGCCAAAAGTTTAAAAATGTAAGATAGTTGTAGCTTTAGAGAATCTTTCTAAAACTGATTAGAAAAAATCTATGATTTAGAAAAAAATTTGGATGTACAAATATTATTTATCACTTATCAATCATCACCTTAGTAACTAGAAAATTTACCAGTACCATTTTTTGGTTATACCTTTAGAAATTAATTTAAAAATAATTGATAGTTTTAAGAATTTTATATAATAGTTAAAAATAAATTTTTTTTTTTATAAATCCAACAAGTCACCTCCATAGTTTATTTACTGTCCATATTTTGGATAATATTTAACTATAAGAAAAATCTTGCAAGTTTCATGGATTGTTATTGCATTTTATGTGATTTAAAATATTGTAATTAACGTCTAGTTATATATTGCGATCCATAGTATAAATCATTCAAATATTAGCAAAATGTGGATTGTAAAAATGTAAGTGCAATATTTCCAATTATATTTTAAGGAATAAAGAGACTAAATAATCCAGGTGTATATATATATTTTTTTGAATTGTTGTATCAAAAAAAAAAAAAATTTTTTTGAATAAGTGTCCGTTTAATATTTGATTCGCACATGCTGTAATCGAATCAGTCTTAAGTATCATTGTAGTTAATTATTTTTTGAAAAAAAGGAGAGACACAAGGGCTGATTAGTCCAAGGGTACGGTTCCTTCCTTCCTCTCTCTCTCTCTCTGCGCTTTATTCTGTTCAAGTCCGCTGCTTTTTACTTTGCCGTTTCACTGAGAACGAGGCCTCACATTCTCTTTCTCAATCCTAGAAGAAGAAGAAGACGAAGCAGGACCAAGTAGAAAGCTTTAAACCACACACGCACTCTCTCTCTCTCTCTCCAAATCACTTTTGGTTTTTCTCTCTCCAAAATCTTCCTCATTGTCTCTGCCTGCTTCAAGAAACTGTTGTCTCTTCAAACACTTTCTCTTCCTCTGCTTAGATCTTTTCTTTTGTCTTCTCGTGGGAGAAAGAGTGTCTCTCAAATTAAACCCATTTTCTTAATTACTGTCTCTTAGACGACTCTTTGTCTTTTTTTTGCTCATTAGCTTCTGTCTGATCCAAAGGAGGAGGAATCAAAAACCCAATTTTCTAGTCAATTTCGAAACTTTCATGTTCTTAAAACAGTGATTCAACTAAAAGCCCCAAACTTGTCCAACATTTTCAATGGAGTGAGTCTTTATTCCAAGGAACAGATCAAGAACAAATAAGAAGCAGCAATGAGAGAAGACAAATCCAAGAAAAGCAAGGTATATTTTTTTTTATTTTTATCTTCTTGAAATTTCAGATTAACCTCAAGCAAAAAAAATTCTTAAGCAAAAAAAATTTCAGATTAACAATTTCCACTAAACCACTTTTGGTTATTGATTGAAGTTGTCATGGTCAAAGAAGATGGTGAGGAAATGGTTCAACATCAAAAGCAAAACAGAAGAGTTTCAAGCTGATGTTTCTCTTCCTCAAGGTACAAAAAAACTTGTCTTAAAAACGTAACTCTTACTTCTCTGGGCTTCTTGTTCTTTTCTGTAAGAGGTGTTTAACTGCAATCTTTTTGTCTTTTCTGAGCTAAGAAACAACGGTTTCTGTTTCTTCTGCTTTAGCTTTAACCACCACTCTCCATGTAAATTAAAAGGATTAGCATTTGGATTATTGTGAGTTGTGACTTACTTCAATTTACTGGTAGTTGTAGAAGTTGAGCACAGAAGTAGCATCTCAGAGAAGGAGCCTTGCACAATCAAGAAGAGTAAAACTGGTAAAGATCATTCATCAAGCTACACATATATGCAATAGTTTTCTTGTTTTCTCATGATTTATGAATTTTTATAGAGAAACTCAACAAGAACTGGGAGCACCAAGCTAGACAAAGGAGAATGAACTATGAGAATCCAAGAATCATTGATGTCCAGAACTACAGGTAAACATAGATAGATGTTTGTGTGTTATATTATTGTGATGTATTGAAGTTGAATCTAATGTTGATGAAACTGGTGAAACAGTATCTTTGTAGCAACATGGAACGTTGCTGGACGCTCTCCTCCTGAAGATCTAAACCTTGACGAGTGGCTTCATTCCTCAGCTCCTGCAGATATATACGTACTTGGGTATACTTACTACCACATCTTCTTCCCAAAGAATCTATGTCTTTGTTCTTAAAATAGTCTGTCTTCACATTTTGTAGATTCCAAGAGATTGTTCCTCTCAATGCTGGTAATGTTCTTGGAGCTGAAGACAACGGTCCTGCCAAAAAATGGCATTCTCTCATCAGGAAAACACTCAACAACCTCCCCGGGACAAGCGGCCTCTGTCACACGCCATCTCCTATCCCTGTCCCCATTGCAGAGATTGATGCTGATTTTTCTGGATCTTCTAGACAAAAGAACGCAACCTTCTTCAACAGACGGTCTTTCCAGACCCCTAGCATATGGAGAAATGATGAGAATGACCCTTCAGTCACACAGTCACGGCTGCTTGACCGTCGTTTAAGCGTCTGTGATCGTGTGTTCTTCAGTCATAGACCAAGTGACTTTGATCCTAGCTTCAGGTGCAGTCAAAGGCCTAGTGATTACTCAAGAAGGCCTAGTGATTACTCTAGACCAAGTGATTATTACTCTAGGCCGAGTGATTATTACTCTAGAGCAAGTGACTACTCTAGGCAGAGTGATGTCTCTCGGTGTGGTTACTCAGATGATGATAATGGACCAGGGGATTCACCAAGCACAGGCTTGTACTCACCGGGGTCAAATGCTGGTATGGCATCAAACGAGAATGGGTCTAGAATGTGGAACTCTTCTCAGTATTGTTTGGTGGCTAGCAAACAAATGGTTGGTATCTTTTTAACAGTTTGGGTGAAAAGTGAGTTAAGAGAACATGTCAAGAACATGAAAGTATCTTGTGTTGGCAGAGGATTAATGGGTTATCTCGGAAACAAGGTAAAGATCTTGTGCTTTTCCACTACCATGTGAGTTAGTTACTTAGTGGATTATTAAAATGTGTGTTTGTGGTTCTCGTAGGGATCAATCTCTATCAGCATGTTACTTCACCAAACAAGCTTTTGCTTTGTCTGCACTCACTTGACATCAGGACAAAAAGAAGGAGATGAGCTGAGGAGAAACTCTGATGTCATGGAGATACTCAAGAAAACAAGGTTTCCTCGTGTCCAGAGTTCTGCAGGAGAGAAGTCCCCAGAGAATATACTTCAGCATGAGTAAGTGAATCAAGAGTCATACATTCACATTTAATCACTCTTTTGCACTCATTTTGTTTTGGTTTTCTTTATGATTTAGTCGAGTAATATGGCTTGGGGATTTGAATTACCGGATAGCACTCTCTTACCGATCTGCGAAAGCACTTGTGGAGATGCAAAACTGGAGAGCATTACTAGAGAACGACCAGGTACATTGAAGTAGTAGTAGATGTAATGCACATAATACAGAGTTTCGGTTTTCTCATTTTTATAGAGTGTTGTTGCAGTTAAGGATAGAGCAGAAACGAGGCCATGTGTTTAAAGGATGGGATGAAGGGAAGATTTACTTCCCACCAACTTACAAGTACTCAACTAACTCAGATAGATATGCAGGAGATGACTTGCATTCCAAGGAGAAACGTCGCACTCCTGCTTGGTGAGTGTATCTTACAGTCCCAAAAATCAAGAACATGTAGACTGATCTGACAATATGTTTTTGTTTTTATTACTAAAGGTGTGACAGAATACTATGGTATGGAGAAGGACTGCATCAGCTATGTTATGTAAGAGGGGAGTCAAGATTCTCAGATCATAGACCAGTTTATGGCATATTCAGCGCAGAGGTTGAGTCAAATCACAAGAGATTGAAACGAGCCACGAGTTACTCTACTTCAAGGGTCCAAGCTGAAGAACTCTTACCTTACCCTAGAGGATACACCGAGCTAACTTTTTTCTAAAAGAAACAAAAGGTTCAGTGACATCTCTATCCATAGAAGTACTAACCAGAAAATTAGGAGATAGATGCAGATAGAATGTAGTGTCAGTGACATGAACCTATCAAGGCCAATATAGTCCATTGGTAGTAAACTAGTAGTAGTAGTTGTGGTCCTGAAACTCATAATAGAGACTGGTCTGCATTTATTATACATCAGCCAAGAAAGTAGCCCACACGTTTCTCCTATATAATTTAAGTCACTGGATATGATATGATCATCTCTGCATCGTCAGTGAAAACAACTGATTAAGAAACCTAAGATTCGTTGTATTATTATTCTTGAGTTGAGAAGATAAAAGAAAAAAGATTCTGTAAATCTTGTAAGAGATAATTATTGTGTATATCTCTTTATCATATCTTGATCACTTATGGTATATGATTTGATTCGGCTTTTGTCAGGTTTATTAAAGTTTTTTTTTTTCAAATTTATTGTTGGTGTTTGAAGCCTTGAAGAGTGATGGAGACATTACATTGCTTCTTTTAACACAAAAGGAAACAGGACAACAGGTTGGTCCAACTTCTCTTATGTCTGTTTCGGGTTCGGTATTTTTAAACTTAACGGGTAAAATTGCCGGTTTACAGGTGCAGAAAAGGGTTGTAATTTTGTCTTGGTTAACTGAAAGCCGGTTGTTTCTTTTCATGGATCTTCTAATTTTGGAAGAGTTAACTAATCTGAAGATAATTTTATTTTGATAAATTATAAAACGTGTGTTTTGTGAAGGATTATGAGATTGCAGATGGAAGTGTTTTTAGAATCCATCTTTACTTTTTGACTTTAAGGGCATGTTCAAAGGGGGAACACTTAAGGGTGTGCTTAAAGTGAAAATATTAGTTAAAAAAGTGGATTTGAGTTAAGAACAAGAAAATCTTCAAAGAGGGATCACCTCTTTCTTCTTTTGTCTCTTCTTCTTCCTAACTTCAAGTTTCTCAGACCAAATCATGCATAGATCCAAAACCCAATCTAGAAATCCGTCATTCTCCTCCACTCTACTCGACGACAATTCCATCGATCCCAAAACCCACAAAACCCTACCTTTTCTTGGCTCTGTTATGCCTCCGACGTCCGTTATGCCTCCGACGTCCCCAAGATCACGAGATATGATGAGGATTGGGAGAATACAAGAACCAGAAGATTCACGAGTAATCAAAAGAAGCTCAAAACTCCAGATTTTTCTTGTTCTCGTCGACGACAGAGAGAGATTGAAAGTGGGGATTGATTTTTCAGCCAATGCCAGCATGCCACGTCGACAAGCACAGCAGGGTAGCACTGGTCTTGTTTAAGACCTGTTCTCATGTGCTTAGCCCAGTTTTGTATTAAATTTCTTTTTTTAAAGCCCAAGCACATGGCCATAGTTCTCCCATTGAACATGGCCTAATGATTAGGGTTTTTTTGTTTTGTTTTTGCATATTATTATTAGTGAAGCCTAATGATAGTGTAATGCTTGTTGTATAAGATTATCCGTGTAAATTTAGTCAGAAAAAAGATTAGCCGTGTAAGAGAAAAAGAAAGCATTATTTTATTTTATTCTCATTGTTTCCTTGCAAAGAAAAAGTAAAAGAATCTAAAGGTAACGTCTAGTAATGATCGTTGTACTGAAAAAGTTAGTATTCCTTGATAACCTCGAAGCTCACTCATTCTCTGATTCGATATGGACTTTATAAAGTCAATGATTATTTTCTACTATCATGCACACATGAGTCATGGAATTGGCGTACTCACACAGACTCAATCATCACAGAGTTATGATTTATGATGATTAGCATCAATTTAAACAGTTATTATAAATTAATACATGATTAACATTCGTGAATTGAAAGTGGGTTGCGCAGTCACCATAAACACACATGCATGTACAAGTAATACATAAACCATAAATCCTAATTTCAACAAAAATGTAAATGTAACAAAACCATTCGATCAATAAAAGTGGAAACAATGTAAAATCAGATGAAAATATAAACTTTTTGTAATCTAAATATTCGCAGGTCGTAATTCTAAAAACGTTTTGAGAGAGAAATGAAGCCAACTATTTGATCACTAGCTAGAATCTGTTAAATCAACATATATAACACCTAATCAAGCTATAAAAAAAACCATCTATAACACATACCAAATGAAAATTGCAATTGCAAACATATTTGCATTAAATTTATGCGTGCAAAAAGTTAAATAATTATCAATCATTAGTTACCATCTTTACTGTTTTTGATATATAAAAATGAAGTGTAGGTATGGAGAATAGTGTGAAGATGGAAATGATTAAAAAGGAGTATGATAGTGAAGAGAGTGTGTTGTGTAATCTCATGCCTTTCTCTACTTCCTAGCTATATACTCATGCTTTCTCTTGTTTCAGCTTTCGTGATTACAACAACACTTGTGAATTATCTCTCTTTTTTCATTTACATCAACATATAAAACCCAAAATAAAAAGCATTCTTGGTGCATATTTGCTTGTGTACCTATTTTACGGTATACTATCAATTAAATAAAGAAGGAATGGAAAGTGTGGTGCATATTTACTTATGTACCTATAAGAAAGTGTTTAATGGAGAGTTTTTAAGATGAGGCGCTAAGAGAAAACATCTCTTAATTTTTAACTAAAAAAGTTAAAAATTAGTTCTTAAATAAAATATTTAAGAATTGGTTCTTAACTTTTTTAGTTAAAAATTAAGAGACGATTTCTTAAATCCCGATAAAAACTCCATCCTAAGAATTTCCAATTAAACATGCTCTAAATGTTACTCACTAAATGTTACTCACTAAGAAATGAATATTTGGAGATTATGATTTATAGGAGTGGACACTTGATATCATTTCTTTTGTCAATAGAAAAGGATTGCACTGTTATAAAGTGATTTAACATACAAATGAAGTTCACAGAGAATTATATATTAGAATTGTTTCATACTAATCTTAATTGTATAGCAGTAACTTCTATGAACTAATATGATTATAATATAATATATGTACATATATTTTTGACCAAGTTACGTGTACACGTATCAAGGCTATATAGCCTATATTGTAATGACTTTCGTTTATAATAAGTGAAAACAAGTTCTAGAACAGTAAAGTGACTGCATTAAGAAAACACAGAGGCATGATGGAATAGGCTTTCGTGAGTGGGAAGCGAAAGCAGCCTCACAAGCACATTTATTTCCGTCTTTATAACCAAAAACCCCTTTTTCAAGATTATTTTCTGTTCTCTATCTATGAAATTAAAGAATTCGTTCACTCTACTGCATAGAGTCATACTCATAGAGAGTAGGAGGCACATAAGTTCATACATTACAAACATAAGTTTTGAGATACAAACATAAATTTCGAATACAAGTAATCATCACTTAGAATCCTGATGAGAAGGTAGTTGGGGAGGCCAAGTTTAATGTTATTGGAGTGATTACATATGAGATCGTACTGTCGCTGTTGTTTACATCTTTTCCTTTCAACGTCTCCTAGTTAAAATCCAAGGATCGAAAGTTTGAGGTCAAGTAGATTTCATATATATACTTCTAAACCATGTAGAGAACATGAGCTATGAAATGTTTTGATGACTTTAGTCATATCTCGAGGCTTTGTAACAAAGCTATTCAGGCTCGTAAATTCACATCATAAAAGATCATGGGGAGTTTTATAAAGCCATTGTATTCCAATGGTTTATTTAGCCACCTCTCGCTTATTGGATGAGTATCTTCTATGGATACTATAAGCTTTGTTCAATGGTTCATGTTTTGTTTTAGACTAAGAAAAAATTAACTCGCATAAACGACAGATCGGCCTTATTGAACTTTTTGACAACATAGTTGGTTTTGTTTTGTAATTTACACTGCTAAACTTTAACAAACTTGTACTAGGGAGTTTGCATCGGCCACGTAGATGACTTGTATTCTCTAGTTACAGAGCTAGTTTGTTTCATTTCGATTTTATCAAATAATCCTAGTATGATTTTTTTTCATATTTGTGCACATAAATCATATAAAACCAAGTCCCAAAATAGAATGTAAAGTAAATGGGCTTTATCAATACTGGCCCAAGTATTCGGCTTACATGGGCTTTATAATGCACAATCTCTATTTCTTGATTTTGTTTCTTTAGATTAACGATAAAACTTTACTCTGTTTCCATAACAATACGAACTCAAGAAGAATCTACGCAACTGTTTCCGCCATGGAACCGCGGAGGGAGAACGACTCAGAGAATGGTGTTACCGTAACTCGACGCATTACACATCATCAAAACTCATCGACGCTTCCTGTTGACGTTGTTACAGAGATATGCTCGAGGTTGACTTCAAAGTCCATAGCGAGATGTCGCTGCGTATGCAAGCTCTGGTCCTCTATCCTTCGCCATCAAGATTTCACAGAGCTTTTCTTGACCAAATCTTGTGCTCGTCCTCAGCTTTTAGTTGCATGCGAAGATGACAACGAGTTTGATCTTTTCGACAAAAAGAAAGATGACAGCGAGTTTCTCTTCTTCTCGTCACCTCAGCCTCAGAATCCTGATGATAACTCGTATGTTGTAGCCGTCAACAATCTTGCGTGTTTCCCAAGTTCCTATGAGTTATTTGGTTGCACGAGTGGCTTCTTGTGTTGTGGAGCTGACTTGAACTTGAAAGGGCAGAGAAAGTCAGTGTTTGTCACGGTGATATGTAACCCTAGCACGGGACAGTCCTTGACATTACCAAGATTGAACTCAAAAAAGAAGGATGGAGTGGAAAGCTATCTTGGATATGACCCCATTGCGAAAGAGTTCAAGGTATTGTCTGTACGTTACGGTTGTATCTCTAAGCAGCACCATGTTCTGACATTAGGAGCCAAGAAATTGTCATGGAGGTTGGTCGAATGTTGCATACCACATTGTTCTTCTCGTACGTGGATATGCATCAGTGGTGTGTTGTATTACACAGCCACGACGTCAGAGGAATCTGTGGTAGTAGTTTGTTTTGATTTGAGGACTGAGAAGTTCAGTTTTGTGAAGTTTAGTAGAGAACTCCCAGGTTCAGAAACTATGGTAAATTACGGTGGCAGATTAGGTTTGCTAATGTCAGAAGATTCTGGTTATGTTAGTCGATCAAGTAAAAGTATTGAGCTTTGGGTTCTTCATGACGCTGCAAAACATGAATGGTCCAAGCATGTTTACATGTTACCTTATTTTTGGAAGAATATGGTTGCGGAGAGCATGTGCATTGCTGGAATGGTTGGTGTAAATGAAATCGTATTGTCTCCGTGCTACCAATACGTGCCTTCTTATGTCGTCTACTTCAATGTCGAGAGCAAGACGATCAGGAAAGTTGGTATTCAAGGAATGGAGGCGTTTCAGGGTAATAGATGCTACACCTATCTCAACTACGTTGAGAATGTGAAGCTTCTTTAAGCATTTAAAGTAAGAGAAATGTAGTTTTCATTTTGTGTTTCTTTTTCTTTATAGTCATAGTTTGAAGCTTCTGTAAGTATTAAATCTTCTTGTAACAAACTCTTTAAGATAGTAAGTACTAATCCAAAACAGAGAAGTTTAAAATGAGGTCTTTCAGTGATGTAAGAGGGAGAAGAGTTTTTAGATCTTCTTATTACAAACTCTTTAAGATAGGTTTTAGATCCATATATTGCTTAAGATAACTGATGACTGATGATCATCTCGTAAGTAAGCTACTACATTTTAAGCTTAGTTTTTATATTTATTTCCCTCTAAAAAAGTTTATGCTGCATCCGCCACTGCTTTTAATATGATGAATGGACAAGACCACTACATTTCAGTAATGTATACCCTATAGCATACTTACGAGATGACAAAAGTTTACATTATC